TAGAGCTCTTTTAGCTTTCTACGAAGTTTGCCCTTTGAACACATTATCCTTTTCCAAAAACGAGATTTGGAGTAAAATTCACCAAGGGACCCTCAAGGTCCAGAAAGAGTTTACTGATGGACACAAGAGGACTTGTGCTACAGTTGGCTCAGTGGGTAGAACCCCAGAAAGGCTCCAAAAGCACCCCGGAGCTGCCTGCCATTCTAAGCCCTCCACGCTGCCTTGCTCTGGAGGGGCTCTTTACCTCTGTGTCTAAACTGTGCACAGGAAGACGAGTGGGCATGCAGGCAGCTTCCAGGGATGTCAGAAGAGACTGTGGCTTTCCGAACTTCAGGCAGCAATCCCAAGGAGCACCATGAAGAGGCCTGGTGGGATGCAACAAAGAACTCTTGGTCTGGATAACCAGGAAGGGGATATGAGACTCTGGATGCTAGAAAATGTCACTAAAATGGTACCAGATGTGTTTCTCCCCTCTTCTTGGGTGCTGAAGGGCCTGGAAGGCTCTTGTGTTTAGATCCACACAAAGCAGCATCTCCTTGGGCATGGAGTCTGATAGGCCCCAGAGGAAGCTTATCAGAGGATGTGATAATACTACATGCTTGGGTCACAGCTTCTTCCCAGGAGCCATTGCTGCCATGGTGGCTACTTGCTCAGATGAGAGCTCTAGATTGCCCCCAGAGTCTTAGAATTGCCTTGTTCCCATTCTATAGCAGTAGATCCTATGACTGGAGTCTTGGAACTAGACAACTAGGGTCTATGCTTAGAATTCTAGGGGTTGGCACCATGGTCCACGAGCAACAGGCAGGACCAAAGGAAGTGTGGCAAAGTTTTGTGCTGCTCAGACGGGTATGCAACCTCAGCTGAACCTCTTCTGTTGCTAAGTAAAGAACCCAAGTGACTGTAGGACTTCGAGGACAGGTTTTTAATCCTTAGTTGAGTGACTTCAGCCAAAGGAAGTGGGAAATAAATTATTGGATGGCTAAAAGTGCCAGGGTGTGTACTTGTACTGAACAACTTGTGTTCCTGACCCCAAAACCCATTTCCTGTCTCTGCGATTCTCCATCCTACACTCAGATATAGTACCAACATTTAAGGCAAGGCTATTTGACTCTTGGATGTCACTTCCATTCTCTGGATCTCAATTTCTCTTCAGGCAAGTGGAATAACCTATCTCTACTGCCTCCCGTAAGGTTATGATGAGACTAACCTGAAATACCATGGTGGAGCCTGGCATGGTGTCACATAGCTATAATACCAGCATTCGGGATACTGAAGTAGGCAGATCACAAATGCAAGACTAGCCTGAGCTACAGAGGAAGACTCTGCCTCCAAAAACAGCAGCAGAAACCACACCATGGTTGATGGTCTGAGAATCTATGTCTTTAAAAGCATTCCAGTGCTCAGGACATTTGTGAAAAAACTCCTATTGCAGCTGTGGTCGGTAGATATCATTTTCCCAGACCCTAGGGATGCCTGGGGATCTTGCATCCTTATTATTGCCCCAGCTGTGATGTGGCCATTCATGGCCTTGCTCATGATCTGTCTCGTCCTCTGAAATTTTCCATTCCATTCCTTGGCTGTTATCATTTGGCTTTCTCTGCACCTCCCAGGCAAAACCTCAGAAAGGGGGAGATAGGTAGGAGAAAGATCAATCCAGTGCATAAATTGCCTTAGGTCCCCAAACCAGTGGGATGGCCTGGAGACTCACCAAGCCACAGGAGAGAGGAGTAGCCGCAGTCTGGTAAGCGGATGAAGTATCCAGATGCTGTCTTGCTCTTCTGCCTTTGGCTAGTTAAATCCCACAGGACACATCATATATACATATATATGTGTATACACAGACACACACACAGTTTTTTCTGACCCTGGGATTCAAACTTGGTATCTGATGCTTTTGTTCCTTGGCTGGCTCTCTACCACCTAAGCCACACCTCCAACCCCACAACTTCATATTTACATTACTGATTTTGAGTGAGGAGGATCTTTATTCCACAATTTCATGAGTATTTACCCAAAGAGGAACACTAAAGCATGAATGATTCTAAAGGAAGTGTGTGTGTGTGTGTGCGCACGTGTGTGTGTGCGCGCACGTGCGTGTGTGTGTGTGTGTGTGTGTGTGTGTGTGAACAGGGCTTGAACTCAGGCCCTGCACACTGTCCCTTAGCTTTTTACTCAAGAATGATACTTTACTACTGAGCGACAGCTCCATGTCTGGCTTCTTTGTGTGTGTGGTTAATTGAAGAAAATCATCACACAGATGGTCCTGCCTTGAGCTGGCTTTGAACTGTCATCCTCAGATCTTATCTAAAAAGCTAGGATTACAGCCCTGAACCACCAGTGCCTGGCAAAGGAGGTGTTTTGAGCAACCTCTCCCATTGGTTTTAGGACAAATGACAAGCAGGTCCCCTCCCTCTATTAAATTGAACTTGCAAGTTTGCTTCACTGCAGTTAATATCAGTGCTGCTTTGCATCTTATGAGAATGTCTGGCTGGAATGTTGGAATGAGGGAATCACAACCCAGGGACAGCCCCCTGGCTGAAGATATAGACTTCAAGGGCTTCTGTGTGCTGACAGGGAGAAGAAAGCCAAGATCCTTTGTAATCAAGGAAGAGAGGCCCATAGAAAGGTAATCTGGACTTGTGAGCTTAGGCTATTTTTCTCTCCTTACCCCGCCTTCAGTGACTAGACAAGGAGCCTTGTGTAGCCTAGAACTCGGTCCACAGTGTAAATTAAGTACTTGTGGGGATCTGAATTCTATTCTTGTTGCTAGAAATCAACTGAGCGATCTAAGCCTCCGTTTCTTACTTGGACCTCAGGGAGTTTTTAATTTGTTGCCACTTTGAAAAGGCTCTTGGAAGTGTGTGGACTTCTGCACACCATGCTCAATTCCTGAACAGGCAGGTCAAGAGTTCTGCTCCCAAGTGAACCTCCCTGTCCACAAAGCCCTCGGAGCCCCAGAGACGCTGCCCTCTCTCATCCCCAAGGTCACCGCAGCAAGAGAGGAACCCAGAATAGAAGCAAAGCCTCCTCCTGCTCCACCCACCCAGAGGTCCCATGTGATGTCAGGCAGGAGGAAGGAGGGCTCCACTCCAGTCCCTGGGTGCTACTTATTTATAGGCGCTACTGGGGCCAGGGACCATCCCAAAGGATATGCACACACACACACACACACACACACACCACAGAGGCAGCTGGGAAGGAGCCACCAATAGGGATTTAATCAGCAGCATTGAGTGAAATGTGAAAATCAGTGTCATCTTCCACATCCTAAGAGGTTCTGCCAGTTTCCATGGTGCCAGGGGTTGAGAGGTCTCACTAGGGCTGTGCCATTTTCCCTTGGTCTGCAGCTATAGGTAGGAAGGCTTGGCTCCAAGGTTCTTTTAAGCACAGTCTCCTCATTTCAGACTCCCAACCTTCCCGAGAGGCTGAAGCTTCTTCAAGCCCTAAACCAAAACTAGAAAGTGAGGGCCATCTTCTCCATTTTTAGTCTAATTTCTTGACTGTTGACTTGTCTCTAAACCATTGTAGCTCAAGCTTTATTTATTATTCCAGATTTTGAGCTTTGGATTCTCCACCTAAATTAAGTGGCTGTTGGATTTGGTTACTAATTCAAATCCCATCTTCTTTCTTTTCTTTTCTGTTCTTTTTTTTTGTGCGGGTAAAAGAGACATGAACTCAGGGCTTCCAACTCTTGCTGGCTATCTTTGCTCACCGTTGGCACCCTACCACTTGAACCATATCTCCACTTCCTGGCTTTTTGCTGGGAAAGAAGACTCTCTTAGATTTGTCTCTCTGGGCTGGCTTCAAACCTCAGTGCTCACATCTCAGCCTCCTGAGCAGTTAAGATGACAGGTGTAAGCCACTGACATTCAGTGCAAATCTTGTCTAGTTTCTGATCATGATTGTTGTTGGGATGAGCTAAGAGACTCAGGCTCATCTCCCAAACCTTCTATAATACCTCATTGCCATCTATGCCTTCATTTTTTAAAAATTCTGGAGCATGGAGGTCAGGGGACTATATTTATATATATATAGATATACACACATATCTGTAAATATACATATATATATATATCTATGCAGATGTATGTGCACATGTATGTAGGTGTCCATACATATGTTATATATAAGAATATATATATTTATTTTGCTTCCCTCAAACCTAGAGATACTGATCTCTCACACACCCAGTTCTTTTCTTTCACAAATGCTCCTAGACCCAACCACCATGAGTTTCACTGGAAGCTACTTTGTGCTTGGTGTGGAGTATAACATATGTCATGATCCTCACAGAGGTATGTGAAGGAGAGAAGCAAGAGGGAAAGGATAGGAAAACAACTGGAGCCAAGGAGTCTGAGGGATGAGTAGTGAAGGTCTCTACACATCAGAATCACCAAGAGGGCTTGGTGCTAGGGGCTCATACCCATAAGTACTTATAATCAGGAGGCTGAGATTTGAAGATGCCTTCCAAAGTCAGCCTGGACAGGAGAGTCTATGAGCTTCTTATCCCCAATGAACCAATAAAAAGCTGGAAGTGGAGCTGTGACTCAAGTAATATAGCACCAGCCTTGAGCAGAAAAGCTAAGGGACAGCACACAGAATCCACCTGGGGAATTACCAAACTCCATTGCCCATGACCTATACAGAAGAATCTCAGAGATGGAACTCAGTCATCATTTTTAAAGATTCCAAAGTATAGCCAGGATTTGGCCCATTGTGGCTTGTGATAATGTGTGCTTTGAGTTGGTTGGATGATGGAAGTCGAGTGGGCGGCTATTGTTGGCGTTTTGGTTTTGGTTTTGCTTATTTTCTTAGTACTGAGCCTTCTTATTCATCCTTTCTAAGAAGCCATGAGACTCATCTTTCTCGATTTAGGTCTAAGGAAGAACAGGAGGAAGGAAGGGGGAAGACTGGAAGGGAGAGGGGAGAGAAGGACTTTGGGGCTGTAGCATCTAAGATTGCAGGGACATTGTCACAATTCACACCTCCCTTACTGCCAGGACCTCCTGCAGAATTCCCCCAATTCCATGTCTGGAGTCTCCAGTAACCCCCAGGGGATTGTGGTCCCAGCCTCAGCGCTCCAACAGGGCAACATCGCCATGACGACTGTCAACTCACAAGTGGTGTCAGGTCGGTGCAAGGAAGGGGTGTTGGGATTGGTGGAGCGGGAGGGGGAGTTGGCCCTGGGAGAAGAAAGGATGGCCCCTGAGGAAATGAGGGACCAGGGTGTGACCTCATGCCAATGGAGGGATCTTTGGGTTCAGGTGCTTAACTAAAACATTCTGCAAATGGCTAGCACTGAGACTTGATTGGGATGGGTTGGCATGAATTTGGGTCAAATTCTCAGGATGTCCTCCCCCTCCCCTCAATACCACCCAGACTAAGTAGAGCTATGTCACTTCCCCCAGATATTTCCCACCAGAGCCTCTGCTCACCTCTGGACACCATACCCCACCCCACCTACTCCTCTTCTATAAGAGGAAGAGGCAACCTCAGTACTCCAGAGTCCGGGGGTGGGGGGAAGGGTGGTCATCACACATAAATGCCAAGAAAATTGGGGATCCTGCTTGTCTGCTTCCCATCCCCCTACTCCATGTCAGGGAACCCCAAAACTGGTTGTCTCCTCAGGTGGAGCCTTATACCAACCCGTTACCATGGTAACCTCCCAGGGTCAGGTGGTCACCCAAGCAATCCCCCAGGGAGCCATCCAGATCCAGAACACACAGGTGAGTGTCTGTAGGTGTGTGCGCTTGCGTGTGGGTATGGGGGAGGGCCCGGTGATTGCTTATTACCTGCTAGGCACTTACACAGTGATTCATTCAATCTTTACTATCCTCTAAGAGGCAGCATGACCCTTGCTTTACAGATAAGAAGCTGGGTCTGGCTAGGTTTTATGAACACTAGAGGCTTGGCTGCCTCCTGAGTTTTATATCAAAGGATCCTGCAACTTCCTATTCCTGCTCTCCAGACTGAGCCACTCTGCACCTGGGTGATAAATACACAGCAGATCTATGGAAAGATCTGCAGCCAGAAGCCTGAGACCTGACAATAACTCTGTGATCTTGGATAAGTCTCCTGACCTCTCCCAGCCTCAGAGTTCTTATCAATAAACGGGGATTAATACCACCTTGCAAACAGCCCAGCCAACCTACAGGGTTGTTGTGAGGATTAACTGTGGTGATAATAGGAGAGTGATTTGTACTCTGCAAAGTATCACAGAAATGCTAATAACGGTTAGATGGTTTATGGCAAATTCATATCTTTAGTACTCTCTGCATGACTCTCGCTAATTCCTCTATCTCCTCTCCCATCACCTTTCTCCCTCCTCTCCTCCTCCTCCTTCTCCTTCTCTCCTTTCCTTACCCCCAAGCCTCATCGCCATTCTCTGAGGGGCCCCATGTGGGGTGAGAGGGAAAGGTGACCTCCCCAGAGCCCTAAGAATGAGTTGGGAATGGGGGCTGGCATCAAGAGCCTGCCGTCACTATGACAACAGGTCTCTAGCCACTAGCCTCACAGGCTGCTGATGCTGATTTTTTCTCCACGTGCCCCTTGAAGGTTAACCTTGACCTCACCTCCCTCCTGGACAATGAGGATAAGAAGTCCAAGAACAAACGAGGAGTCTTGCCCAAGCATGCCACCAATATAATGCGTTCTTGGCTCTTCCAACATCTCATGGTGAGTGTGTGTGCATACTAGGGGTGGGGGAATGACTAACCCACAGCTTGAGTGCCAGGCTCTGCTGTCATTGCCTGATTTTTAGGGGGCATAGCCAGAGAGAGAGAGAGAGAGAGAGAGCGCGCACTGTATTAGGAGAACCAGCTAGCAGCCTGCTCAGGGGAAGCCTCAATGGAGCCTAATGCTGGCACACTGCTACTGCCTCAAAAATAATGTGATGCCTCGGGATGTAATGGGGACCAACACTCCTGAGAGACTGAAGTGCTGGGCAAATGTGTAACACTGCAGTTGTGAGCAGAGCAAGAGACCAGGGATGGGGCTGTGATTACTGGGCCAGGCCCTCTTTTGCTGGAAGCCACGCCCACCCTGGCCTGATGTGGAAGAATGTGTTCATTCTTTTGCTGGGGAAGACAGACAAGTAGACACATCTGTCTCCCTCCTGATTTGAGCAGTAGGATGAGGTGTGGTGCAGGCCAGCGAGGTTGCTGGAATCTGGCTGTTTCACTAGCCAGCCTAGCTCCAGGACGTATGGTACAATGCATTGGGTTTCACCATAGTTCTTATGAAGCACCTACTGTGTAGTAGGTAGTGGTTCGATGTTTGTATGTCGTATTAGCCTTTGGTTGAATGTTAGGGATGACTTCAAATTTGCAATCCCCTAGGACTAATTTCATAGGCTGCAGTAATAAAGATGTTCTGTGTGTGCATGTGTGTGTGCATGTGTTTATGTCAGGTCCACAAGAGGGCTTCCAGCAGCCTTCCAGCTTTTTCCTGATACATCAGGACACTTAGACACAGATACAAAACAAAGGGACTTGGGACACTGGGCTGAAAATTGCAGGAATAGAGGAGGCAGGCAAGGCCTTTCTTCTTCAGAGAGGAGAGAAATCAAAGGAATCACAGAAACTAATCAGTCAGCCAAGAGCCCTTTAACTGGAATGGGAGAGCTTCCTGAAGCCATAGAGACAAGGCGCCTAGGTGGTGCTCAGAGTTGGGTGGCAGCCGATACTCACTGTGGTCTTAGGGACTGTCCTTCAAAGGTGCTGGTCCTGTGTACTCAGTGGACAGAATCTCTCAGTGGTGATAGACGTGAAACTAGGACTCTGCCTCTCACCCCAATTCAAGAGGTTTGGGTTGCCCCAGTGCTTTGCTGAGCAAGCTCATTTGAGGTCTGAACTGAGTTTCTCCTTTTCTGATTACTCTAATTCTATTTCCTTGAGGGGTGGGGAAGAGCTAACATTTATCTCCAATGGTTGTGAAGTTAAATGGACATACATCAAGACCCAGGTCTAGCATATTGATCAGCACTTAAGAAATTGTTTTCTGGGGCTGGGAAGGTGGCTCAGTGGTAGAGCGCTTGCCTTGCATGCTCAAGGCCCTGGGTTCGATTTCTCAGCACCACATAAGCAAAAAGAAAAAAGCCAGAAGTGGCGCTGTGGCTCAAGTGGTAGAGCGCTAGCCTTGAGCTGAAGAGCTGAGGGACAGGGCCCAGGCCCAGAGTTCAGGCCCTACTACTGGACCCAAAAAAAAAAAAAAAAAAGAAATTGTTTTCTGGGTGTGGTGATATATACCTGTAATCCTACCCTATGGGAGGCTGAGGCAGGAAAGTTCCAGATCAGCCTAGCCACATAGTGAGTTTCAGGCCAGCTTGAGCTATGTAGCAAGACCCTGTCTTAAACAAACCAACCAACAAAAACAACGTAAGAAATGTTTCCTTTGAACTTTCTAGGGCATTGAACCAAGAATAAGGTGTTTGGGTTTTGTTTTTTGTTTATTTTTTGTTTTTTTGGTGCCAGTCCTGGGGCTTGAACTCAAGACCTGGGCGCTGTCTTTGAGCTGTTTTACAAAAAGTAGTGCTCCACACCCACTATCAGCTTTTTGGTTGTTAATTGGAAATAAGAATCTCATGGACTTTGCTACCCAGGTTGGTTTCGAACCATGATCCTCAGATCTCAGCCTCCTGAGTAGCTAGGATTACAGATATGAACCACCAGTGCATGGCTTAAGAATAAGGTGTTTGGGGCTGGGAAGGTGGCTCAGTGGTAGAGTGCTTGCCTTGCATGCATGAGGCCCTGGGTTCAATTCCCCAGCACCACATAAGCAAAAAGAAAAAAATCTGAAGTGGTGCTGTGGCTCAAGTGGTAGAGCGCTAGCCTTGAGCTGAAGAGCTAAGGGACAGCGCCCAGGCCCAGAGTTCAGGCCCCACGACCGGACCTCCCCCCCCAAAAAAAAGAAGGTATTTGTTTGTTAATTTGTTTAAAGCAAGGTCTCACTATGTAGCCCAGACTACCTTGGAACTGGAAGTCTTCCTGTCTCAGCCTTTCAACTGCCAGAATTACAGGAATGTGACACTATGCTTGGCTTGGGGGACATTTTTGAGGCTGAAGCCCAACATTTATAAAAACTAATTCAGAATGGATAAGTGATATGTCATTTTGATTTGCAGTAGCTGTTGATTTTTCCATCATCTATCTGACTTTTAAGAGTAAAATGACTAGCCGGGCGCTGGTGGCTCACGCCTGTAATCCTAGCTACTCAGGAGGCTGAGATCTGAGGATCGCGGTTCAAAGCCAGCCCGGGCAGGAGAGACCGTGAGACTCCTATCTCCAATAAACCACCAGAAAACCGGAAGTGGCGCTGTAGCTCAAGTGGTAGAGCGCTCGCCTTGAGCTGAAGAGCTGAGGGACAAGCGCCCAGGCCCAGAGTTCAAGCCCCACGACCGACAAAAAAAAAAAAAAAAGAGTAAAATGACTAGAAGGGTCACCTCACCCACATGCTCTATGTATGTGTGTCTAGATACATACCTTGTATCTCCGATTGATAAGTGTCACAAAAATGGGGCTCCTCCATTATTTATCTATGAATTCCCAAGCACGTTCATTGGTATTACTGCCAAAAAGGGGTTCCATGATGGAACATTTGAGCAAATCTGGGCTCCACAAAATATAGTCATTTCCCCAGTGTTAGGGCTGCAGGTGGATAGCTCTTGGTACCCTTGCTCTGAGTCTGTACTCTTGGGAAACCTAAGTCCACAGGACCACCATCAGAAGCAGACATGGTTGCTCTGCGTCAGGAAAGGCAAGCAAAGAAGGAATGAAGGAAGAAGAGGATTCTGAACCCCAGAGTCATTCTGTATCCAGTGCAGTTGAAACTTGTTTATTGGTTGGTTAATTTGCAAAGTCAGTTTTTAAAAAGGAACGACCATTTAAAGGATACTTTATATTCACTTAAAAGATATACACTTATTCATTTGCTAATCTCTTGATTTAGGGCCAAGGCCTTTTTTTTTTTATTAAAGTTTATCATTTTACTTGCATAAGCCTTTTCCTATAATAAAAATGTCTACAAGTTCCATCTTTATTTAAAGTGGAATAAAAAAATTGATATTTGGGATCTAGCCCAGCTATAGGATCTTTCTGGATTTTTATTATGTATTCCAATATCTGCTCACCTCATCCTAGCTAATCAGCATTTTTAAACATCATTGAGTCTGAAGTTTCCCAAAGCCTTCTCTACCTAGATCTCTCAACAAGATGTCTTTCTTGGAAACAGAGGCTTGCTCTGTTGGTAGAGCACCAGCCATAAGTGGGGGAAAAAAAGCCAAACAAGAGAGCTGCCCTAAGTTCAAACTATAGTACTGGCACAAAATAGATGAGTGCATAAATGGATGAATGAATGAATGAATGAAAAATAAATCTTTTTATTTTTATTTTCTGTCAGTTGTAGGGCTTGAACTCTGGGCCTGGGCGCTGTCTCTTAGCTCTTCAGCTCAAGGCGAGCACTCTACCACTTGAGCCACCGTGCCACTTCTGGTTTTCTGGTGGCTAATTGGAGATAAGAGTCTCATGGAGTTTTCTGCCCGGTCTGGCTCTGAACCGCAATCCTCAGATCTCAGCCCCCTGAGTAGCTAGGATTACAGGCGTGAGCCACTGGCACCCAGCAAATCTTTCTTTTTGCCCTCATATTTAATTCATTAAACTACAAAATTATGATAACACATATCTGGATACAAATACTGTACTCTAAGAAACAGATCATTTGTCTAATAATCAGATCCACAAAGCAGCCTATTCCCCCAACTCCACCCCTTCCAAGCATCAGGGTCTGATGGCTGCCATTTTGTAATCAGCCACCTTCACTGAGGAGATACTGTGCTTGAGCCCATCTGTGCTAAATGCTGGCTTCTCCTGTTACCATTCTTTTCCCTCAGGGAGAAGTTCGTATCTGTGTTATTGTTTTTGTCTTGTGTCAGAGGCTTCTTCTTGTCCTTTCCACCGTGGCATTAACAGCTACAGAGATGCATGAGGAACAGAGGAGGTTAACTCTCAGAACCTTCTTAGCAGTGAGATCAGGACAGTTTCATCTGGTCATGGCTGCCTCCTGAGTCCCTGAAGAATTGAATGACATTTCTTGCTCTAATGTTTTGGCTGAAAGAGGCTGAGCTCATGCTGGAAACAATCACTCCACAGCAAACCCAGGTCAGGCAAGAAGGCCCCTGCCAGAGGGGTCACCCAAGGAGGAGGAAGAACTGCTGTCCCTCCCCAGCTTGAGCCCCACTCCTCCCCCCCCCCCCCTCCAGCTCCAGATCCCAGTGTCACCCTGACCTGTCCGGTGATTCTGTTTCAGTACATGATGGTTCTCCAGGCTGCCACACCCCAGCACAGCAGCAGCTTGCTGTTTGTGTACTTGGAGGTGGTAGAAAAGAACCCAGGCTTCAAGCGGGCCCCTCCATCCACCATGGCAGCCCCCTGTGTGCCGCCAGGGTCTAGAACTCAGCACTTCGGTGCACTGACTCATTTAAAACCCACAAGTGCCCTAGAAGTTCAGTGTCAGAGAAGGCAACATCTTCTAAGATCATGCAGATAAGAAGGTCACATAGGATTTGAACCCAGAACTCTGACCTGAGGCTCTGATCTCTCACATACTTTGCCTCCACATTGACATTGTGGAACCAAGCAGCCCTGTCCTACCAGAGCTGTAGGGTGTTTATAGGTGAAGCC